CAGCTTGTCTGAGTCCATGTGGTTGAAGGAGCTGGGAGTGTTGGAGTTGGTAAACCTGGCCCAGAGCAAATCTCTCACTTTTTCTTCTGTTTCCCTTGGGCCAACACTTGGTGCCAACGTTTCCTCCTCCAGGAGGACAGTCAGGATCAGGGCCACATCTTTGAAGGCTGCATTCTCATGGTCACAGTACTTGTAGAAGATCAAGGTGGAGCCAGCAGGCAGGGATTCAAAGCGGTGCACCACGGCCGCCTTCTGGCCATTCTCAAACCCATAGCTCAACTCCAGGTCGACATATAGCTTGACTGTGTCGCTGTTCTGCAAGGTTCTCGCAGCCCCGTCGATCTGGACGGCAGAGACGTTCTGGGAAGAGGTGTAGGCGTCTGCCACATGGTGGCTCAGGCACTTCAGGGTCTCCCTTCCCTCTTGAGCAGCTGTGAAGATGATGGTGGCAGGCTCTGCGGGGTTGGAAACATTGAGGTGCTTCTGGAGAAACTTCCGTCCTCTCTGCCACAGGAAGGAACTCTGGCCTGGAAATTTATCCTTCAGCTGGCTGAACTCAGTCAAAAAGGCCTCCAAGGCTGGATTCCTGGGCACTTGCTGGGCTTCAGAAAAAGAGTAGCTATGCAGAGAACAGAGCAAAAAAAAGAGACCCATGCCCAGGAAGGAATAAAGGATGTATCCTGGAAGAGAAGGAAAAAATCAGAGATGCTATCATAGACACCAAACCTGCCGCAAATAAAAATGAAGCAGATACTGTCTTTTTTTTTTTTTTTTTTTAGATACAGTCTTCTTTTTAGTGGTAGTAATGCATTTCTTCACTCCAACTCCTTTAAACTCTCTGTTCTTAAAGTCTATATGAAATGCTTTTTCATTAGTTTCTTCTCAGATTTCATTACGGAAGAAACAGTGTCTTTGAAGACAAAAAGCTGTGTTTACATATTCATCATAATAGTTCATAGTGTGATTAAAAAATTGCCTTCTCGGAAAATATTAACTCAAAATACCTACTATGTGTACAAACTATTATTCTAGAAATTAAAGGACTCCAGAACTTAAAAACATCATCTGCGAAGCTAATGTGCTCTCACTGAAAAAAGTGATTATTGTTAATGTAAAGAACATTCCTATGGTGACAACTTACATTTTATTAAGCACAACAAAACACCAGCCAGCTCCTTAAAGAACATTTCTAAAACTCTACCTTACTATTATCAAATACTATTAAAAAAATATTAATCCAAAGCTAAATCTGTTTAAGTCTGCCACTTTTCTAGACCGGATTCATCGCAGTTCTGTGAACCTGAATCAGCCCTACAGTGAACCATGCTGTTCCCTCCACAGAGACTCACACACATCAATATCTTACTTCTGGTGTCCTGAGCATTCTTTCTGTTTTCTTCTAATTTTTGTGCTTCTTGTAAATTACTTCCAGCCTCTATGGGACACAAAGAGAATGAACAATATTATTTTTAAAGTGTATTAGGCAGTGTGTGTGTGGGTGCATCTCAATCATTCACACTCACTCACTGTTCACTCACATTCACTTACTGCCTTTGAATCAGAACCAACTTATAGCTGACTCTGAAGTGGATTTTCAGAGGCTGTAAGTTCTAAGGAAGGAGACAAAACATCTTCTTCCTGAAAACTGAGTTTCAACTACCTACCTTTGGCAGACAACTCCTGACAGTTTGTGCAAACAGATATAGAGATAGAGATGTATGTATATAGATGTATGTATGTATTTATGTGTGTAAAAGTTCTGGTGACTTACTGGTGCGGAACTGTACTGACAATGCAAAGGCATGTGATTCAAATCCACCAGTTTTTCCATGAGAGAGAGTGGGTTCTGACTTGACTCGAGAGGGGAAAAGTTAGCTTTGTCAAAAAGAGAATTTACCGGGAGCTCTGGTGGCTTAGTGGCAAGACGCTGCACTGCAATCCCAGAGGTACGTGGTTCAAATCCACCAGATGCTCTGCTGGAGAAGGAGGGGGCAATCTCCTCCTGTACCAGTCAGATCTGATTTGATGGTACACATAAAAATAATACAATAAAAATTTAAAAAAAAAAGAGAGAGAATTTACCAAGTATAGCACTCAATCTGAGTCAAATAATTCTTTGACTGGCTTTGACAAGCACTGTGGCATTTGGACAAGAACAAACTGGGAGGAGGGTAGAGAGAATAGTGCAACAATGAATGAGTGGAAGCTCAAAATCTCTGTAAATGTTTATGAAAATTAATAAAATATAATTATAGAAAATTAAAAAAAAATAAAAAAAATTAAAATAAAAAAAAATAATAATTCTTTGGTTTGATGAGAAAGAGGTAGGAAAACGTTTGATATCTATGTTGTTATATGCTGTTGAGCAAGAACCAACTGACAGCTGACTCACTTGTGGGTTTTCAGAGACAGTAAATCACATGAGAGGACATTATCCATCTTTCTCCCACACAGCAGCTAGTGGATTTGAGCCATGTGCCTTTGAGATAGATACACACTCACATATATGTGCGTGTGTGTATAAATAAAAATAAGACATTCCTTTAAGGACTTTAATGCTGCATCCAGTGTTTCCCATTGGCCTGTACATCAAGGCTCAGGAAATAAGAATTCTAATAATGCATTCAAACTCATCAAAAACTTGATTCTCAAAAAAATGTATGAAATTATTAAAATAATTAAAAGACATTAGTAATTTACAAGATTCAATATCGTAACCTAGTGATGCTCTAATTCCAGTGCTCCAGTCTCAGATAACTTCTGAAGATCTTCAAGTATACAAAAAAATAACCAAAACAACACCAAAGAAGACATAGCCACTGAGCTGAAATCTGACTCACAGTACCCTCTGGTATCTCGAAAGCTGAAAATACCATGGAAGCAGATCTGGCATCTTTCTGCCAAAGAGCAGCTCAGAGATTCAAACTGCTAATCTTTTAGTTAGCAGTTGAGTGCTAACTAAGAATAAGTAATTATAATTATTTATATTTATATTATAATAATAAATGCTCCATTAGGGCTCCTTATAAAAACAACGGAAGGACTAAATTTGGAAACAGGAGTGATTATTGTAAACTTATAAAATAACATACAAATCAAGTTTGGAAATCTTAGTGATGGAAGTATACAAAGTAAAGAAGACAAGGCTATAAAATTTATGAGCTATTATAAAATTCAGATCAGTTTAAAAATCTGTGAGGGGAAACAAAAGCATTCTTTTGTAACACAGAAATTAAAACTCTCACAGCCTAGACCTGTGCTTGACTCTACTCAGGTATCTCAAAACAGTGAAACTGAACACTGCTCATAACTCTGTACCTTTAAAGGATAGTTCATGTAATTCTACTGCACACTAAAAAAAAAAAAAAAAGTAAAAATGTAATACCACAGAATTTAAGGATCTAAAAGATCTTTAACCAAAAAAAGAGTGAAAGAAGATCTTTAATGATTACCTGCTCAACGGCTTAGCTTACTGATCATATAAAACATTCGGGAATGGTAAGGACTGTGCCCTAGTAAACTGGTGTGGCTGAGTTGAGAGTAGAATGGGGTCTTTTAGCTCCTAGACTAGCTTATCCCCCTATATTAAGTTGCTTTCTACACAGAAACTGCTTTTTTTCCATATAGGGGAAAGATTTTTTTAAAAGAAAATTAAGTTTTAATTTTTAAAGAAATTTTAGGTTTACTAAAAAGAATAGAAATGCACAGAAAATAGGGCATTCTCATATACCCCTTGTCCCAACTACACACATTTCTATTAGTAACATCATGTTTTAAGGTGGTCTATCTGTTACAGCTGATAAGCCAACTGATAAAATGTTATCAATCAACCTAAGTCTCAAGTTTAAACAGGATTCACTGTTGTTTACAGTTTTGCTAATTTTGGTTAATATATGTCATGAGTTCATCATTACTGTGCAGTATTTCCAAAACGATGCTTTTTTTTCTACACAGAGTGGACTGTGCATGGTGAATTTTTGATGGCAGAGGAATGACTAGACTATAAAAAGCAACATTCATTCATGAGACATGAGAAGATGAAGGTGGGAAGAAGAAACAACGGGCACACAGTGTGGAAGAAACTGAGCACCTATAGGAAGCCTCCTGGACAGCAAGAGGGTCCAAAGCGGGAGAGCACCAGGGACAGAGGGAAAAAGAGCAAGGGGAGTAATGATGCAGGACTCACAGTGCCCTCTCATCAGTCAGTAACTCTGTCAGAATCACTACATCCAGAGTCTCTAGTTCTCACACTCCATGACCTGCTGGGAAGCAGGTGGAGCCTGCACTAGCTGGACCACTTAAAGAACCAGGAGAACTCACTTCACACAGCAGGCAGATGCTAGACAATGCATAGTGAAAAAAAAACCCCAACCAAAACTAAAACTAATCTATTATTTAAAATTAGTCTAAGGCTGGATTAAGACTACCTGTATGTATCAACATAGACTTCTTTTCAACATTAGATCAGACGTACAAAACCTCTACATATTGGCAGGAATCATACCATGCCAAGGCTCTGGAAGATCTCCAGAATTGTCTTTTTAAAGCTCTATCTGAATTTAATGCTGTGAAAGAAAGGCAGTTCTCTGAAAAGAGGACAGGACAGTCAATGAGCTGCTTCTCACCTGGTGCTGCCCGCCGCTTCCTCAGTGCATCCTGGCTCCCCAGCCTCTCACTGGGATGACCAGGTCTCTGGGCATGTTGGGAGTCTGGGGCAGGTGGCTCCTGGGAAGCTCTGGTTCTGACACCCACATCCTCAGGCCGGGCTGCAGTACGTGCACCATCAGCTCTTCCTATTTTATCACTTGAAGAAAGGTTAGGATCTGGAACCAAGGCTTCTTCATCTGAACCTCCTGGATGCAAATGACTTCCCTGTTCTCCATCATGTCCTGCTTCATCCTTTGGGTATTTCCCATCAGTTGTTTCATCTGGACTTTCTGACTGCTCACCTACGTCTACACTTCCTGGACCGACTACTTCCACCCCTTGGTGGTCTCTGAGACAAGAAGTGGGGTTTGAACTTTGAGCTTCTTTGGTGACACTGGCTGTGACTGGGGTCTCCTGTACCTGAGAATTTACAGATGGGTCATTTTCCAGATCCTTTTGAGAATCTATAAAGACAAAGTTATAATTTCTATTAAAAAACTATCTTAATTTTTCTATTTTAATAAGGCTATATAAAATATAGTAACTATTAATAATAGCAATATTTATAGATTTTCCATTTACAAGGCACTCTTCCTAAACATTATTTCCTATGACTCTCACTGAAGGTGATTAAAACAAAATCTGTTATCATGTTAGTAAATCTAATAAATACCATTAACGCAAAATAATTTTGAGTAAGAGTTAACTTTGAATTAGAAATAAATATATCTTCTTCCCTAATGAAATAATGTATAGAGGCAATTATTCTCAATGGCAGCTAAAAAACCCCATGAGGCTGAGGGGGTTAAATTTGTAATGGAAGAAACAGGCTGATAAAATATGAAGCCACTGCTCGAGCATAACATCACAAAAATCAGGGCAAACTGGACATCCCCCGACATGATTCACAGGAAGTACACTGCCCATAGAGCACTGGTGACAAAAACTGAACCTAAGCCTGATCAAGTCTCTAGAATCAGTTTCTAAGAAATAAAAGGACAAAAAATTTAAATTATACATCATGTATGTAATCAGCAAAACGCAGAGAGTGGGAAACTAGCTGCAGGCCTTTATAAAATGAAGGTGACAGGGGAGGCTTCCCTCTAATTAGTCAAGCAGCCAACGAAAAGCTCCCTGGGCGTGAGGACAAGAAGAAAACAACAGAGAGATGGAAAAGACCAGTGAGAAGGTTGTTGCAATGTGCCAACTGAGACTTAGTGACCCTATGAACAAAGACTTTGAACCCTGTCCTATCGTGTGCCATTCTCATCATCTCTAAGTTCGTGAAGCCCACTGCTACAGTCACTGTGTCAGTACATCCTGTTGAGGGTGTTTCTTTCTTTTGCTGACTCTCCATCTTTTTAAGCATGATGTCCTTTATGAAGGACTGGTCCCTCCTAACAACACGCCCAAAGTATGTGAGATGAAGCTTCGGCACACCTTTTCCAAGACTGACTTATTTGTTCTTTTGGCAGGCCATGGGATATTCAGTACTCTTCTCTAATACCACAACTCAAAGGCACTGATTCTTCTTCTGTCATCCTTAGTTATCACCAAACTTTAAGATTAATAGTAAGTGACTGAAAATACCATGGCTTCAATGGGGCAACTGATATCTTTGCTCCTTAATACTCTGGAGAGGTCCTTGACAGCAGATTTTCCAAATATTACACAGCTTTTGATTTCCTGACAAACAGTGCCAAGAGTATTGATTATGAATCCAAGTAAAATGAAACTGTTGACATTTTCAGTCTTTTCTCCATGTACAAGATGTTGCCAGCAGTGAGAATTTCTAGCTTCTTGATGCTGAGATGCAATGCATCTTGAAGGCTGTAGGGGTTTTTTGTTCTGTGTGTTCCAATAAAATTTCAAGTCTTCCTCGATTTCGGCAAGCAGGATTGTGTCATCTGAATGTTGTTGGTGAGTCTTCCTACAATCCTGATGTCACATTCTTCTACATGAAGTCCAGCCTCTCGAATGATTTGCTTTATATATAGACTGAACAGATATATAGAGAAAAGACACAGCTCTGACACATACTTTCTTGATTTTAAACCATGCAGTGTTCCCATTCTCTGTTCAAAAAACAGCTTCTGAAATAGGTTTCACATGAGAACAATTAAGTGTTTGGGATTCCAATGTTAGCCGTAATTTGTTATGTTGCACACACTCAAATGCCTTTGCATGTAGTCCATGTGTATAGTTGCTGTGATTTTTTTAAAAAATAAGAATCTGTAATGAATAATTGTATGCACAAAATTCAATCAACCAATCTCCAGCTTCGTTTCTTGTCAACAAGTCCATAATCTCCCATTATTCCTTTGCTCTCCACTTTTGCATGCCAGTCATCACTATCAATGCACCTTGATTGCATTTTTGGTCAACTGAAGTTGACAGACATCCTCAATGTCTTCCTCTTTAGCTTCAGAAGTTGGTGTACACATTTGAGGAGGAGGTGTATTAAGAGGTTTTTCTTGTATTTAAATGGACAGTATCCGATCACTCACAGCATTGTCCTTCAGGGTGAGATGGAGAGACTGCAAAATGATGTATTTGCAGTTCAACAAAGCACACACCAATTCAGCAATTTCTACAAGTTACACTGGTTACATTCTTTGAATTGTGCTATCATTTTCCTATCCTATTTGACCACCATTATTTTAAACCCACTGCCTCCTAAACTTCTCTCATTTTTTTTATTTTAGTAACTGTTATCATTTTGAATACTTCCATCAGAGCATATTGCTCAGCATAAACATTCTTTCCTAAACTATAATTTGGTTTAAAGATGACTTGAGAAGACAGTTTAAATTAGGTTTATAGACTACTGCCCTTCAGGGGGTGATATCCTCCAGCCAAATGGGCTCCACCAAATCTAGAATTCCAAAATAATTTTCATTTCTGTTTCACATTTTCAATTATTTGATCAGGATTCTTTTATAGAGTAGTTTATCAGAACACTCAGTGATGGTAGCCAGCAACACCCACTTCTGGTGTCACAGAAAAGGAATTAGCTGTTCATGGAGGCAGTAAGACATGTGTCCGGTGTCTCCTCATATCCCAGCCTCTCCTTCGTCTGCTTCTCTAAGCACTTAGAGACCAACTGGACTTTGTATGGGCTCTATCATGTTCTTAAGACACCAGGCACTAAAGAAACCAATTCAGCACTTTTGAAAAGGTTATCACTTAATGTGCTTATAAGTTTAAGATGCAAATTATCATAAAAGTTAACTAAGAAAGCTTCACTTTAATTTTATTTTATGTACTCAACTTGCAATTTATCAAAATCTCTGTTAAAGGAATTGAAAAATGAATGGAAGGAGAGGTAACTGGAGTGACATGACAACGTGGAAGAAAATAAGTGGTTTGTTAGAAAGCTTCCTGGACAGCAAAAGGGTGTGAAGCAGAAGAGCTCAGGGAATAAGGGAAAAAAGAGCAGTGGCAGTAAGGATACCAAGTCTCTCACACTGTCCTCCCATTAGCGAGTCTGTCTAGCCTCACCCCTCCCTACATCAAAAGTCCCCCACCCTCACACTCTGCTCCCTGCTGGGAAGGAGGCGGTGGCTTGCACCAGCTGGACCACTGAGGGAAACAAACCTGAAGAACACATTTCCTCACAATAGGGAGATGTCAGGCAACACATGGTGAAAAAAATGAACATTAAAATTAATCTAGGCCCATCAACAAACAAATAGATAGAGAAGCTGTGGTATATTCACACAATGGAGTACTACACTGCATTGAAAAACAAGGAACTCATGCAATATTATTCAAAATGGGTGACCCTGGAGGACATTATGCTGA